AGAGACGTGAAGCGAATGCGACAAACTTTCCTTTCTTTAGATCCAAAAACAGTATTATTCCTTTTATATTTAAGAAGATAAAGTACATTACTTAGATCTTTTTGAATGCAATTAAGGCCTTGTACATAAATTTACTTACTGTTGCTATAGTTTTTTTAGAGTTAATGTATAAATAGTGTTATATAATGCTTATGAAAATCATTTTCATTTTCCATGTTCAATACATCATAATTAATTTTGTATTTTTTCTATTATGCATTAAAATAAAGTTATTTCAATTTGGGATTTGTGGCCAAATTTTTGGTATAAAAGGGGTTCTATGTGCACATTAAATATGGAAACCACTAGTGTAGATGAATAGATTGGGCTTATGCAACATATAAAATAAAAATTTTAAAAATTTAAAAACAATGCAAGCAAATTTTAAAATTTATTTTCAGAGTTATTAAAATTATTTTCAGACAAGGTTTTTAAAGTATTTAAATATTTATTCATTCATCGAATGATGTCTTAGAAATATATTACTTTTTTTTTCAAACACGATGTTGAAATGAAGATATTTTTATATACTGTTTTCTTACAGAATAACAGTTCATAATAATTATATATTTTTTACAAACCAGAAAAGTAAAACTCTCCTAAAATATATTTAGATTAATTTTCTTTACATCCCAATAATTTAATAAAGATAAAAACTAAATGCAATTAAATTAAATTATTTTTCTCCATTTTAATCTTATATGAATGTAATGATATAGTTTCAACTTACTTTAATATGCCGTGGAATATATTTTTTAAGCTTTCCAAACTAATTTCTTTTAATTAATTTAGATTCTTTCATGAAATTTTCCAAAGTAAGATTCAGATTGGAAAATCAAATTCAAAAATGCAAGAATGTTGTTCAATCTTCGAAATTTAATTTTATCTGTGAATTATAACAAAGAAGGCATTAAAAGCATTATTGAAAAGTTATTTTGAACAAAAGAGTTGAAATATGAATTCATCATACTGAATTGAAATAATTTTAAATGCTTTCAGTATTTTCCTAGTTTTTTCTTTTAAATTAATTCTCAATTATTATTTTGTTTGAAAATTTGAACATCTCAATTTGAATAAGCATGGTGAATTAACAAAATTTCTTTCCCAATGTTTCCATCTATATTAAAATGTTTAATCGCAGATTCCTTTTTTATTGTAAAAATATTTTTTTAAATATTACCCCTATTTAAATGCTTCTACAGTTGCCTTAATTTGCATTTTCTTCCATTTCCCTTTTGAAGCATGAATACAGCAAAACATTTACATAATAGAGTTTCCCAGTTGAGTTGAATATTTAAAACTAATGCTATGATTTAAGAATGCGGGTTATCGATGAATAACGATTTGCAAAAAGAGGATCACGAGAAATATTGGATAAACATTTACGTTCCTAAATTAAATATCCGGAATCAGCCATTCGATGCACATATTCTTAGATTAATAGTTTTTGAAAGCTCTTGCATCAACTTTTCGTGCAGTTTTAGAATAAATATTTATCGAATGATTGAGAAGTTTCTTTTTTCCTTGTTTTCTTGTAATAGAGCTGATGCTGATGAATAAATATTATACAAATTCAATATTCATAAATTCTGTTAAACATTTGGTATCACGCAATTTTTAAATTATTTTCATAAAAATAAAAAGTGGTTTTAATTCTTATTTAGAATTAATTTAAAAGGCACGTAATAATTTAAGAATGTGTGTAAGCCCAAAGCGAGTAATTTTGATTTTAATTCGTGTATTTGAGTTTAATTTATTCATTTGAAGTTTAGGATGCGTTTTTAAAGAAAATGGCAGTTATTGTAGCACTTGCCCGCCCCTTAACCGGCAGCCACTGACGAAGGGGGATGGTCATTCCATCGGTATGCTTATCATATTGCTCTAGCAGATGTACATTGGTCACCAGTTTCGTACTTTGCTGTGGAATTAGGTGCAAGAAATTTATCATTCACAAGAAGCAGGTTCAGAGAAAGGTACATGATGCGATATTCCCTACAAGTAGGGAATATTGAAAAACGGTCCCGCAAGCATGAAGCACATTAACTGCTACTGTTCCGGACAATATGCGGACAGTGACTATACTCTCTGCGTTCTCCTGTAAATGCCATTACCATTAGCAGATAGCAGCATGCTTCTGGATTGCTGGCATCTTTTCTGAGATTTCCCCTGACACCACAACAACGTCACCAGAGATTGCAACAGTGCCACAAAACCTTGCATAATGTTAGTAGATCACCTGTAATGATGAGGATGATAACCACATTAGAGTGTGGAAAGAATTGGGGTCAACGGTATGATGGACAATTAGTTGTCATTCGTCACGTTTCCAAACATTATGGTTTAATGGTATGAGGAATGATTTCATATGACAATCAATTATCGTTGATCTTCATCAGATCCATTTTGATGGCCCAAAAGTACGTTAGTAAGGTCCTTCAACCAGTGTCCATTTCTTGGGAAATTACTCATCCCACTCATCCATTTCAGCAAAAGAACGATCTTTTCAAACCACTGTCATCTCAAACACTTGCCTCGCCGCCATTAACATTTAGAGGTGACTAGATGCATTACCTGATCTATCACCCATGCATCTTCTAGAATGTTATGTCATTCAATTACTCCATCAGCACCAAAAAATTTGCAAGATTTACGTGTAAAAGTCCAGTCTACATGTGATGTGTGTTGAGTCAAGAGACTGTTAAAAATGCTACAACAGGTGGCAGAATGATTAGAAACAACCCAGAAATATCCTCATATTCGACTTAAAAAGCTGGTAAGGTAAATGAGAATGAAGAAAAAAAGTCTCAGATGACTATTTATTGAAACAGAAAGCCCAAGATATATAATATTATAGTTTAAAATACTAAAAAACATCCTTTTATATTTAATCCAACTGAGTTGTAACTTAATCTTTTACTCGCCAAATCTGGAAATGGGATCTGAAATTAGTCACCAGATGCGGGAATGGATCTGGAAATGGGAAATTATTAATCCATATGATTCGGATCAGGAACAAAATTATTAAATTATTGTATTGTCATTAGTCCTGGACAAGTAAGCAAAATTTCGAATTAATATGACCTTTTAAAGTGGGTAAAAATTGAGTTCAAAGATTCCATTACATACAAGTGGAAGCTTTTAAAAGTTTGTTTAAAAGGGAGCATTTTAAATGTAGGATGAATGTAATTTAATATGCAAACATTTAAAACAATTTTTAAAGTTGAATTTCTGAGATATTGATTTTCATACTTTCCTACAAGATTTAAAAAATTTCAGCTGCAGTGCTTTTGTGAATGACATCTGTAATTTTATTTTGTAGCATAACAAATGAAAAATATCAATGATTTTTGAAACTTTTTAAAATTTATATTTAATTATGCATAATGTAGGCTTTTCAATTTTATATAGGATTGTAAAATCTACTGTACATCTTTCCAAAGTTATTTCGAGGAAAAAGAAAATAAACTAATTCATTTCTGTTTTCTCACTCTAATGCAAAAATTATAAAATATTCATATTAAAATGTATTAGTTCCGGAGGATTCGCTAAAGTATGTTAAAATATGCAATTTTAAAAACTCAAAAGATGTTTACCCCCCCCCCCTTTTTTTAAAGCTTTCACGGAGTGAAGGGAAATAAAATTTTCAATGCAAGGGCAATCAATAATATTTTTACATTCTGGGTTTCGGATTTTTCAGATCTGATGATTTAGAAAAATTTTATTCACACACACACAGAGAAAGGTGAGTTAGGAATTGCCAGGTTATGTGGGGGTATGAGTTTTACGGCATTGGTAGGCGAAGTACTAAAATCTTTCAAGATTTTTAGTAGATGGGTTCTTTGTACAGAATTTAGTGCTTTTTGATATGATGAGAAGTAACAACCACCTCACGTCCATAATAATTGATCATACATAATAAATGGTTTAAATGAGTGTTATATATATATTCTAACCTTTTTTTTAAAAATAATTTTATTCTACTAAATTGCAAATACCGTTGCAAATACCATTCTGAAAAATTATAAATGAGTTAAGCCTGGAGAGTCAAGTCATAACATTTATAGAAACGAATAGAATTACTATAATACACTAAATAACCAATCTAATAGTGTTAACAGTTTGAAGAATTACATATAATTATATAACTTTCCAGAAAACCATACCACCATGTCTAGTACATCTGACCGCAATTGAATGTTTCTTGAGGGAGATTTTAAGTTTAATTTTTTGAAGTTGATCAAAGAGTAATTGTTACAACTATGTTGGTGTTAATCTCTGAAGTCCTGTTTTCAATGCTTTAGCGACAACAGCAAGGTCACCTGCTTAAAGCCTAAATTTAATATTTTCTCAGGTTTGGTCTAGAATTGGATTGTAGTAAATGTCCCACATGTTTCGGTATTGGTCCCTACAATTTTTTGGTGTTACTAAAGACTTCCGTGTACTTACTATTGAACATTCAATCTGTCAAGTTTAAAAGTCCACACATTAGCATGGTGTGTAAGTTTAAAGAGTGGGTCACAAGCTTAAATGGTCGACAACATGTCTTGGATGTGGTTCAGAATCATTGATCCATCACCCATGGTCCCAGCTTCAAAATGCAACGTTAAGGAACAATCACTTCACCTGAGGACAATCTTTAAGAAATGAGTGTTTCGTAGCAAAATTAGAATCGTAATAAGTAACAGATTGATTTATGAAACAAGAATGAGTAACTTTTTGAAAGTAAAGGGGAATATTATAATTATGAGAAAAGAAATATTTAATTTTAAATTTTCAAACGTGTTTTAATAACAATGGAGACCAATGTTGAATAATCAAAAATTCTATTGGTTTCAATATTATTTAAATTTTTAATCGCATTGTCACTGCTGTAGTCTCCAAAAGACCAGACTAATTTCTGTTCTTTGTGTTACTCTTAGCTGCCAAAAGTAAATATTTTATAGTTAGTTATACTCCGTTTATTCAGGATGGCCGAGCAGTCTAATTCACCATACTCAAGAAGATGCTTGCTCTGCTGCAGAGCTTTGTGTGTTCTGATCCACGTTTGTGGGGGCGTGGGTTCGAATCCCACTTCTGACAGCTGTGCTGTTGCATAGCTAATTTTTTGTCGACTTAGGTGGCTTTAAGTAGTGTTCCCACTTCGTAAGCTTAAGGTTGCGGGTTCGATCCTGGCTGGAGTCGATAGATTTTCTGGATGTGAAAACTGTAGGCTCGCATGTCATATGATTATGTGGCAAGCAATTTGATTCTGGTACACGCGGCAGAATTAAATCATAGTAATATTTCGTATCCGATGAGAGCTTGAATTAAAATTAATTCAAGTTAATTAAAATTAATTAAAATTACTTCCACTGAGAAATGGCTCTCAGATCTCAGATCTTTTCCATGTCTGGTAAGGCTTAGTTGTTAATATGCAGCCCATTAAAAAATGGAAAGTTCGGATGTTCATTCAGTTAGTCTTCCGAAAGTAGGTAGCGCAAACAAATCAATCAATACTGTTTAATAGATAACGGATTCTTATTTAGCTTTAATTTAGAATTAAAGAAAAATTAATTTAGAAGTAAATAAGATGACTTAATATAAACAAATTAATATTTTTAAAATAAAATATAAATATTTACAGCAGATTAATTTTCTAAATTTTATAATTGGTTAAATCGAGATCGAAAACTTTCCGTGACCTTAAATTTCTTAAAACATACTTTGCCTCCCCTCTGAAAATATATCCTCAATAGGAGGAGAACTAACAAAGGGGGAGATAGTATGGAGCATTTTACCATGTCGTTTAGAACAATGGTCAATTGACGAGAAAGACACCTGATTTGGCATCCCACATTCCGAGTTTCCGCACCACATCAATATCAGAACTTTGAACCTAAAAAGATTTAACCCCTTAAGTGGTCATTTTTTGTTGCCCAAAATGTTCCAAACAATGGCATATTTTTTACTGAATATAACTAAACAGAATACTTAATATGGCATGCGAAAATTGAAGATATATTTCAAATTTCTCTTTTAAAGAGTTTCACACTATTTTTTATTTTATAATTGTGGAGCATAAAAAAACCCTAAATTTTTGCTTTTTATAAATAACTTTGCATGCTAAGTAAAATAATTCATATATTTTAAAAGAATTTCTCTTACACTTATAAAACAAATTTCATGTTTGTACCTCTTTTTCAAACGGTTGGGCATGTGCATATATTTATGCACACACAGTTCGAAGTATGGTGTAATGCTAAATCTTACATTTCAATGGGGACAAAGATAACATTGGCTTTAAAATTATCTTTCCATTTTTATTTCTTCTAAAACAACAAATTGCAAATTGTCTTATCAATCCCTGTTCTTTATCGACTATTTTCAAGAATCTGAATTCCTGCCTTTAGTGAACAATTCTCACCTTCACCACAGAGAAAATCCCGGATGAGAAGTATTTTAGTACTTGGACAAACTGCCCTTCTTAAAAACACTAGCACTAATATAATCTCTCTTTAAGAATTAAAAAAATGAGGGCAATTCGAAAAGCACCTCCACGAATCGCTGTAAAAATAGACTAAAACAGAGGGGAGGGGGAATTATTTTACATATCAAAAGTATAACTCTCCTCTATTTTTCAACATAGTTCCCCTCATTATTCAAGAACTTGTCGGGCAATTTTACTAGTTTACCAACTCCTTCTGTATAAAAAGCGACCACTTGCGATTTAAAACAATGTGTCACAGCCTTTTTAAATTCCTCTTTGTAAGCCAAATGTTGTCCCCAGCCACTTCTGCGTTGCAGTGATTAGATGGTAATCGTATGAGATCAGCACTCACTACAGACAACGTTCCACTTTGTGATTTCACATGAATGTTTGTTCTTACGTCATTGAAAAAAGCATATCCATTGACGAACTACACCTTCACTTATAATGTTTAACCCACATACGGCACACAATTCGCGATGGATATCTGCTGTTGACAGGTTTTTTTGGCCCAAAGAAAACTTTTCACTCGTCGCACCTCACATTTCACGGGTTTTTCTGAGGAGGCACACATTTTGACATGTTATAACTAGCAAATTCTTGGCACTACGACACTCTCATTCGCCGACTGAAAGCTTACTGAATCAGAGATTACTCGTAGATTCGATTAAAGGCGCACCTTACCGTACTTTCACCACCACGACCAAACGGCGGTTAGTTTTCGAATTGCCCTCATATGGGCAAATCAAAAATAGAAAGAAGAAAATATCAGTGCCCATACTGTGTACCAGCAGACGGGTTTTAATCAGCTTTCGATAACTCGTACTGTGTACGGGAAATCCAGTTAAGGAGTTAAAGTGCATAAGCACTCAATATGATGAGTCTCCGGAATTCTAATATATAATTTTTATTTTTCTTTACCTGAAATGCAAGAAAAATGTTATATTGAATAAAAAATTTTGAATTAAATGAATGATAAAATATTGGATAAAATATCATTACGCTGAATAACTGCATAATAAAATGTTATATTGAATAAAAATCACTGAACTAGAAAAAGATTTATGTTGACCCAAATAATTAACTTCCAACAGTTACTGCATTTTATATATATATTTCTTACATCTGGACAGTGGCATATTTGTTGGGCACTTCGCCAACATTTAAGCATTTTTACATTTCGTGTAATTGTATTTCACAAATGTAGGTCGACACTTTCGTTGTTTCTTATTTTAGAACTCATTAAAATGACAAAGACGTTCAGATCTTTAAGGTACATTTCATGCATTTCGATGGAAAAAAATTTGGGAAATTTCCAAGAAGTCAATTTCATGCAAAACAATCGCAAATACATTATCGACCTACTGGTAGGCAAATGAAGCAATTATAGTATCTTATTTAGATTTAAAACGTGCCATTCAGTTGTTTTCCTTTATCTCAATATTATGATGAGAAACTCTTGAAATGCTAAATAAATTAGCATCTTTTTATCAATAAGAGACGAAGTTCCTTAATATTATTTGCAAATCTTAAGAAATATTTGTCTGAACAAGTCATTTATTTCTTGCCAATTCAAAAGATATGTATGAAATGTTAATGCTTCCAAAAAAAATTCTTAACTCTAAATTTTTTCAATTTTTAAAAAAATAATTGTACCGATGTCAAATTAATTTCTCTCCACACTTCTAAGAGTAAAATTAGTTGTAATTAAATTTTGTGCTAACTACAGTGACTACTAATTTCAGTTTAAGACCCAGATAATCTTTTCAAGATCACTGAAACTTTATTCAAAGATTTCTCTTTTCCGTAACAATCTTACAAATATCAAAACAACAGAGTGTTGCTATTCACAAATAATATTATAATCATATTCACTGTTGCCACTCATGGAAAAAGAAATAAATATACAAATTTATAACTAACATTTCTATCCTGAAAATAAAAAAAATAAATAATCCTAATACATTTTTAACGTGAATTTCTTATTTTTTCCATATTAAAAACATTACTGAATATGGGATGTAAAATGTCGGAAAATTTTTTTCAATGGAACAACTATTTAAATATTACAAATTTTTAGGCAACCTAAGTTCCAAACTCTTTGATTATTACATGCTTAAAAATGTTCAGTTATTTACCTTAAGAGAGGAATTCATATGGGGATTAGTTGATTGCAATTCTCACTAGAATAATTATTTGATATACGTAATTATAACTTTGACGTATACGGCTGATTGCATTAAAAATATTGAGTACACTAAAATATATTTCAGCATTTTTTTATTCATATTACCCTTACAAATGTTTCTCATTATATTATTTGGAATGGAAAAGCAATAAAACCTATACACACGTACCTAAACTTAAAAATCATAGAAAGTATGCTTGACTGGTTTGCTTAACTTACAAGAACAGTTATTTCTTCCTCTCCATTTTTGGTGCTAAAATCTGCTAGTGCTTTCTATAATTCCAAACAGAAGACAGTAAAAGTTTTTTCCTTTAACTTTTTCAATTTTTATACCTTTAAATTACGAAATATTATGAAGGGATAATATAATTATAAGAATAATATTGTTACTTTTATAAAATATATACCATGGTAAACTACACTTAAAGTTGATGCGCGTACTGTCCAAAACATGAAACTTTGCATTTCAAAAAAAAAATGTCAATAAGAATACTTCTCATAATATATTTTTACTTATAATTCTACGATAAAATGTATCGCGATGAACCTAAAATAATAAGCATAAATGTTGAATATATTTTACTTGAATAATTTTTCAAACAATTCCATTAATTAGGTTTTATTATAAATACACAAAAGCTTATCTTTATGACATTTGTGATAGCATGGAATTTCAAAAATTGCGTTTCTGATCAAGTACCGGTAAACTGTAATTAACATCACATGGATTATGTCGAACACCTCAAATGTCAGATTTAACAATGACAGCATCTTAATCAGTCATTAGCCTAAAAGTGCAAGTCAACCTAATTTTTTTTCTACTTAGCCAGAAGTAGTTAGAAATCCAAAAATAAAGTCTTCGTTTTATCATAGATGTTGAAATTAGGCTATGACAAATGGAGTATGTAAATCTGATTTGTTTTTTGATTTGTATTCTAGTCTATACCATTTCTGTATCGATTCAGACTTTGAAAATTATCATTTTTCGAACTTCCAATTAATTTACTCTCTTAAACTTGCTACAAATTCTATTAGCTAATCGGCTTAGAATTCCACGGTAGGCTGTTCCTTCATTTATGTGGAACAATACTTGAGAGAGAGAGACCAAATTCTGTCTCAATGTACCGACAGGAAAGAGACTTTAAAAAATTCCTGATATAATAAAATATTTTCGTACACGCACTCAGAAAGCCAGATTCTAAATCGGATAAACAAAGTAGAAATTTTTCTTTTTTTTTTGTTTTAATTGTGCTTATCATGTGTCTGAAATGAATAAATTAAGTGTAAAAGAACATCACTATAAATGAGTTCAAAATTATGAGGTTCGCCATCAATATCCCACGTGCAACTTCGAAAAGCAATCAGGAAAATGAAATAAGAAATTACAAGATTGAATAAGAAATTGGGTAACCCCTTAACTGGTTT